CCTCCTCCTCCTGCTCGTCCTTCTTCTCCTGCTCCTCCTGCTCCTCGTCCTGCTCCTGCTCGTCCTCGTCCTCCTGGTCTTGCTCGTCCTCCTCCTCGTCGTGCTCTTGCCCCTGCAGAAAATGTGGCCCGGGAATGGAGTTCTGGGAAGTCGAAGACCACGAAGTGGCCTACAGTTGGCTCCGGACATTCAAAATGTGGCCCGGGAATGGAGTTCTGGGGACTCGAAGACCACGAAGTGGCCTACAGTTGGCTCCGGGCATCCAAAATGTGGCCCGGGAATGGAATTCTGGGAAATAGAAGAGCACGAAATGGCCTACAGTTGGCTCCGGGCATCCCAAATGTGGCCGGGAATGGAGTTCTGGGAAATGGAAGAGCACGAAGTGGCCTACAGTTGGCTCCGGGCATCCAAAATGTGGCCCGGGAATGGAGTTCTGGGAAATGGAAGAGCACGAAGTGGCCTACAGTTGCATCCGGCCCCCCAGAATGTGGCCTGGGAATGGAGTTCTGGGAAGGCGAAGAGCACGAAGTGTGTGACTGTTGGTGAAAAACAAGCCCGGCTCACTGCCGCCCGGCAACTCCCAACACCTGCCCGGACCCCCCTGTGGAGTGATCTGCTGCTCTCTTTTGATCCCACTAGAAACCTATCAGTCGTCGCTGTTAGGTAACATCAGAACAATTATCCCGGCAAAGCAACCTAACAGCGATGTGTAGGAGCATATCTGGAAGCATTCCCCTTAAGATTCAAATGAGAATCCAGTTGTAGAATTGTGCTGTTCTCGCAGTCGTAGTCGCATTCGCGATGATTGTCGCAGTGGCAACGGCAGTCACAGACACAGCCTCAGCCTCAGCCTGCCTCAGCCTCAGCCTCAGCCTGCCTCAGCCTCAGCCTGCCTCAGCCTCAGCCTCAGCCTGCTTCAGCCTCAGCCTCAGTCTGCCTTCAGCCTCGGCCTCAGCCTCAGCCTGCCTCAGCCTCAGCCTGCATCAGCCTCAGCCTCAGCCTCAGCCTGCCTCAGCCTCAGCCTGCCTCAGCCTCAGCCTCAGCCTGCCTCAGCATTCAAAATGTGGCCCGGGAATGGAGTTCTGGGAACTCGAAGAACACGAAGTGGCCTACAGTTGGCTCCGGGCATTCAAAATCATGCCCAGGAATGGAGTTCTGGGAACTCGAAGACCACGAAGTGGCCTACAGTTGGCTCCGGGCATTCAAAATGTGGCCCGGGAATGGAGTTCTGGGAAGTCGAAGAGCACGAAGTGGCCTACAGTTGGCTCCGGGCATCAAAATGTGGCCCGGGAATGGAGTTCTGGGAACTCGAAGACCACGAAGTGGCCTACAGTTGGCTCCGGGCATTCAAAATGTGGCCCGGGAATGGAGTTCTGGGAACTCGAAGAGCACGAAGTGGCCTACAGTTGGCTCCGGGCATTCAAATGTGGCCCGGGAATGGAGTTCTGGGGAACTCGAAGACCACGAAGTGTGTGACTGTTGCATCCGGTTATTCAGAATGTGGCCTGGGAATGGAGTTCTGGAGAAGTCGAAGAGCACGAAGTGTGTGACTGTTGGTGAAAAACGAGCCCGGCACAGGCCCGGCCGGCAACTCCCAACGCCTGCCCGGACCCCCCTGTGGAGTGATCTGTGAGCTCTTTTGAGTCAACTAGAAACCTATCAGTCTTCGCTGTTAGGTAATAATACGAACACACATGAATAATAAGACTCCTGTTGATCACTGTGCTCCCCCTCCTCCTCAGCTTCTCCCTCTTACCATTCACGCCTTCGCTGATTGCGCTCCCAACAAGTTCCTGTGCTCATGAGGTCTGACGCAGACTCCTACATGCAACGAATCACACCATACAACATTCTCATGCGGGAAGGCCGTCGGGATGTGCTTCGGAGCCTGTCTGTTGCCGATTGTGCTTCATTCGTCCCCTCCCCGCCCTATCCAAAGGCCTAGCCACGTGGACAAGCACCCCTTACGATGTCCAGAAAGGAGTCCCAGGTCATTCCTGAGGAAGTCCCAGGAATCAGAAGGACCCGTCAGGATGTCCTAAGAAATCCCAAGACCTCCCTACACAACCCGAAACAATTCCTCATGATACCTAGACCTTGATAGGGAATTCGATTCCGCTGGACCCCACACGGTATCTCGATAATCGTTCTGGATGTCGTAAGAGGTACTACAGGATGCCACCCTGAGGATGTCCGACGGAATCACCAGGATTCCCTTCCGGATCCCCAGATGGCACAAGGTGGCTTCCAAGATGGCTTCAAGATTCCCTCCGACATGCCTCCAAGAGTCCCCAACACCGCCACAGGACGCTCCGAATGGCCTCGGGGCCTCCCAAGATCGCCCCCCGAGAGGTGTTCACTCAACATCTGAGGTCTTCCAATGATTTTGACCTTCTCGCCTGTTTGCTTCCAAGGGGGCTCGGAGATCTCAAGATGACTCGAAGATCACCCAAAAGAACCCCACGCGGGAGCCGTAAAGGCTCAATAAAACCCCAAGAGCGCACAAGAGCGACCCAAGAGCGTCCCAAGAAGGCTTAAAGAGGGGATTGCTCGGGCTCCGACGGGAGAGCCCTACGTAACGTCACCCTGATTGTTCGATCGATGGCCTCCAGTATGGCCCCTAGAGGGCTCCCAAGACCCCCAAGAAGGACCCAAGAGAGCCCCGTGAGGGCTCCGAATGCTCCCAAAGGGGCCCCAAGACAACTCTAAGGTGGCAACAAGAGGCCTCAAGAGGCTCGTAGAGGTCTCCGATCACCATTGTTGGCCTCTATGCTTCACTATATGCTGACCTGCGTCCCTCCTTTCGACAACTCCCCTGGACATCGTTTCTGGATGGAATGGTGGGGGCATGCGAAGCATCAATAATCACATTATGGTGTTCACGCTTGTCCGCCCGCTTCCTTTGTACATGCAATGCCTCGCTCCGCGACAGCACCCGCCTCCTGGAGTCGAGGACGCGCCCAGCAAGAGAGGGAATACCAGAGCTGTCCCGTTGAGCCCGGGAGCCTCTGACTGCTTCTAGGAGACCTCTCCAGGAGCCTCCGAGGGAGCTCTGCGCAGGCGTCCAGGGTCCTCCTCGGATAGGATATTCTGATGAGACTCCACATCTACCCCCAATCGCATATTTGGGGGGAAGAAATATCAGCCGGCCTGGGATGGATATCCATCGCTACAAACATGCCCCATATTGCAGAATGTCGAAGTAGCACTGGGCCGAAACTACTTTCCAGCTCTGCCCTGCCCACCAGGTTCACGAATGCGCTGTAGGTCTCGTGGATGCCCCCCTCCTCCTGAACCACGAAGGAAAAGAACTCAGCAGAGGAGGGAGCGAAGGCGCCGCACGCAACAGAAGCAGAGAGCACAGGACAAGGCAGGAAAGAGAAGTGGCGATCCTGCACAATACCACTCTAGCTGGCACAACACACAATGCCATGCAGTATCCACCAAGGTTCCCGTCTGATATTAGCGGCGCGCACACGGGGGCAGGGGGAGGGAGGAAGGCTTCTTAACAGGGAAACATGAAGTACCCGTCATCTGCCAAACAGAGAAGAGGAAATCAGCCTGGCGAAAGACACAACCATATGCAGTTGTGAATGACGCGAGTGCGCGTATCGCCTTCGGTGGAGCCCCCTTCTGGGGCCACGAAGCGTGTGAGGAATGAGCCGAAATGGGCGCAGTGGGCGCATAAGAAGGCAGCCACTGGGGCATTGTTCCCTACGGGGCCAAGACACGTGTGAGCGGTGCGCCGAAATGATTGGGGCGGACGCGTGCAAACACCGCCACAGGGGCCTTCGGTTGCGCCCCCTGTGGGACCACGAAACGCTTGAAGGATGTCCCGAAATAGGCGGGGCGGGCGCATACGAACACCGCCACTGGGGCCGTCGGTGGAGCTCCCTATGGGACCACGAAAAATGTAAGGGGTGTGCCGAAACGAATGCGGTGGGCGCATGCGAACGCAGCCAACGGGGTTTCGGTGGGGTTCCCCGTGTGGCCAAGACACGTCTGAGTGGTGCGCCGAAATGATTGGGGCGGACGCATGCCAACGCAGCCACGGGGGCCTTCGGTGGGGCTCCGTATGATGCCACGAAGCATGTGAAGGGTATGCCGAAATGGGTGCGGTGGGCGCATGCGAACGCAGCCACGCGGGCTTTCGGTGGAGCTCCGCATGATGCCACGAAACGGGCGAGGGTGTGCCGAGATGGGCGCGGTAGCCGCATGCGAACGCAGCCAATGGGGCCTGGGGCCGAACCCCGTACGGGGCCACGAAACGTGTGAAAGGTGCGCCAAAATGGGAGCGGTGGGCACATGCGAACGAAGCCCATGGGGCCTTCCGTGCAAGTCCTTGTGGGGTCAGTAAACGTGTGCGGGGCGTACCGACATGGGCGCGGTGGGCGCATGCGCCCTATGGGGCCACGGAAAGTGCGATGGGTGTGGCGAAATGAGCACGGTGGGCGCATGCGAACGCAGCCCAGAGGACATTCGGTGGGGCTCCGATTGATGCCACAACACGTACGAGGGGTGTGTTGAAATTGGCGCGGTGGGCGCATGCGAACGCAGCCTCTGGGGCCGTCGGCGGACTTCCCTGTGGAGGCACGAAACGTTTGAGGAATGAGCCGAAATGGGCGCGGTGGGCGCATGCGAACGCATCCACTGGGGCCTTCGGTGGGACTCCGTATGGGGCCACGAACCGCTTGAAGGATGTGCCGAAATGGGCGCGGTGGGTGCATGCGAACGCCGCCACTAGGGCCGTCGGTGGAGTTCCCGATGGGGCCTCGGAATGTGTGCGGGATGTGCCGGCATGGGCGCATTGGGCGCATGCGAACGCAGCCAGTGGGGCCTTCGGTGGAACTCCCTGTTGAGCCACGAAACGCGTGAGCTGGTGTGTCGAAATGGGTGCGGTGTGCACATGCGAACGTAGCCACTGGGGCCGTCGGTGGGGCTCCGTATGGGGCCACGAAACGTTTAAAGGATGTGCTGAAATTTGCGCCGTGGGCGCACGCGAACGCAACCAATGGGGCCTTCGGTGGAACTCCTCATGGGGCTATGGAGCGTGTTTTTTTTGATCGTGCAGGTGTGCACAGCCAAGCTGCACACACGACAACCACCAGGGCCGCCACCACCGAGCCCCTCGGCCCGATCAACCATGCAAGGCTACGGCAGGACCCCACAGTCCACGCCACAGCAAAGGCACGGCGGAGCTCCACCCTTCGGGCGAGCGTCGCGCGAAGCGCAGGCATGACATCAGGCTCGCATTGGAGGAGATCACGCGAAGCGTGCACAAACACAATCAACAGCAAAGACCGTTGACGTGAAAGCACAGACATCACACACTGAGTGGGGTGCCACGCAAAGCGCGCGATGATAAAAGAAGGACTCAGAGGCTCACATGTGGATGCACCAGAAGCCGAAACTCCGCAGCAGCAACCACACGACAGCCCCATCGAATCAAGCTCCCGTGAAAGGCCTCCGAGTCTTGGGATGGATCCTTGCCCAACAGAATCAGGTCTCTCCGCTGCTGTCGAACTCGTCCAGCATTGTCTCCTTTGCGAGGGTGCCCCGCGCAATTCCTAAGCTCACGGACGAGCCCCTCACGTTCACGAACGAAATAACAGCATTTCATACACACACGGTAGCCGTTGGCGATGCGGATGTCGTGGCCCCTCGCCATGTCCGTTGGGGCCTCAGACTCCGCGCCTGCACCACTCGACGCCGCTGTTGACGCCTGCTGATCATCACTATCGCGCCGAGCAGCACCGTCGTCTCCAGCGCTAGCAGCTTGAGCATCCGCACTGCCACCGAACTGCGAAGCAGCTGAAGCAGCCGCAGCGACGACAGCGGCCGCCGCAAACCCCGCCGCTGCTGCAGGTCGTTTCACTCCTGACGTGTCGGCCGAGCGCGGGGCACTCGTCACAGGCCGTGGAATGCAGGGCAGGCTGAACAGCTTACGCTTGGAATTCTCGGTGGCAGCGTACCGTCCACACGTTGAGCACCGCCAGCAGCTAGCCTCGACCACGAAGTCGTGCTCCGTGAGGCTGAGACGAACCTTCGGCGGCATCTTGATAACCACATTAGCGTCAATGTCGTCACGGGCGGCTGACGCAGGGGCACCAGCACAGGACACCCAGGCCACAACGCCGTCCACCAGCAAGTGCGAGCGCCTGATCTTGGTCCTGTCAGTTTCGCCCAAAGCGTACGGACGAGTGGCGTGCTTGGCCCACTCGTCGGCCTCAAGGTTGCCCCGACGCTCCCAACGAGACAGCCGACCCGCTTCCACATCTCTCAGAGTGCCGCGCCCTTTAACTTTGAGCACAGTGAGCCCGTCAGGACCGAGCCCACCGAAATCTTCAATGGCACACCACACCATCCGCCACAGGAAAGCCCAGCTGTGGGAGGCACCGCAAGTACCCTCAGGCCCACGCACCAGGAGCCCGTCAACCACATAACTGGCATCAATCCGCACCGTGATGGTCGCCAGGCTGTGACGAAGAAGAATGAGCACGGCGAGAAGCTCAGCACCTTCTACGGATTGGTGCATCCCCATCAATGGCGATTCCAGGGCGCGAATGGCGCACTTCGGACCAGGGTCATACCACCCAGGCCCAAGTGGAATCTGCACCACCGCACAGCCGGCCATGCCGTAATCGATGTCAAGGTCGAAAGCCGAGCCGTCAGTGAACAGCTCATCGTTGTGAAAGGGCATAGCAGCATTCCCCAGCAACCACTTGACAGAGGACAGGATCTCGTCCTGAGGTGGCTGCCACACCACTCGTGGCCGTACTAGCAGCAGCCGCCCGACCAGCGCGATGATGTTGGGGTGGTCCGCCTGCCTCTTTAGCGTGGCAATGGCTGCTGGCAACTCTGCCTGCGGCCAATGGTGAGCGCACTCCATATGACAATGCCACAGCGTGCCAGCTTGCCCAGGGCACAAGTTGCAATCTTCTGAATGCGCATACCGATGATTATTGTGAAAGCGGCGATGGTTGGCCCATTGCCCGCCGACGATGAGCGACCTGGCGTACCGCCGCTATTCTGCACCAAGGGTAGGCCAGTCACGTCCTTCCGACGCCGTGGGCCGTCCTCGATAGATCCACTTCCTCAGATGCATGATGTTGAAACCGTTGTCCAAATGCGGCAGCTCGTCAGCACACTTCTGGAACTGCCACCAAAGAACTGCTTTCCGAACCACTTGCTTGGTATACCACGGCGAAAAACCCAGCGGCCTATACACTGCGCCAGTAGCCGCGTTGATCCAGGTGCTGATGCTGGCCGCCGCACAGCCGACGCGCAGCAAGGACATGAATGCCGCGCTGATGGGCCCACGTACCTGGGCCCAAGACTGCACATGCGTTGAAGTCCACGCCAGCACCGACGACACAATAGATTGCGGCATCCAACCGTCCCAGACGGCACGATGCAGCATACAGACTGGATCGATCGTGGCTCGAAAGATGGGGTCGAAATCGCGCACAGGCGACAACATGAGACAGAGCGCGCGACTCTTGCCGTCTACTCGGGCATCCGTAGAGCGGAAGGCGACCGACCGAGCAGACTGAAGGTCGGTATCGCTCGGCCCCGTGCAGTTCACGCTGCACGCATAACCTGCCTCGAGGCCTTGCTTGGCGATACGAGCTGCGATAGCACGCCGACCTCCATTGCCCAATAGACGCCGCGCTCTGGGTACCCGTCGCTCAGCAGCTCGCAGTCGCGCACGTCGCACCTGTCGCCCAAGCGCGCGCCCTTGAGCAAAATCAGTGCCGAGGTTCCTCGCGTGCCTGGCTGCTTGAGCACCCGCGATCGTAATCAGCATGGCCTTCAACGTGTGAGTGAGGGCCGTACTTGATGCAAGGACCTGCGACTTCTTGGCGGCGATGCGGATGCTGTCCCTGCTAAGACCGTTCACCAGCACCTGCGCCGCCAAGACGATGTCCCGCATCACCCGACGCTCACCGCCGCGCCGCTGCAAAACCAAATCATCGACCACAATGGCGGGGGAAACCGTGGGCACCGCCTGCTGCATGCGATCGACACTCCCAATCAGCTGCAGCTCCATGAAGGTTGTGGCAAACGAATCGCCTGCAAGCACGGTCTGGCGCACGTAGACCAAATCAGATACGGCACCATCCAACACAAGAGCACGGGCCTTGGTATAAATATCCAGTTGCGGCTTCAACAAGCACAAAGGAAATGAAAATTTCTGAGCCAATCTCAACATGTTGTCATGCCTGATCTGTTCAAAGGCCATCCACAAGTCAAGTAATAGCGTTGCAGTGGCCCAGTCGGCGCTGGGATA